TCCTTCTCGGAGGCCATTGAATGGGCAGCTCAGGGAAAAAATGTGTTGAGGCTGCAGGATTCTCCCCAAACGGCTTAATCTGGCGAGGCTCTGCGTGCCGATAGCCTCCTGCACACCGCTCCCTCCATAGGCCTCTCAACAATGACTGTCTGCACATCTGCAAACTAGTGTGTGTGTGTGTGTGTGTGTGTGTGTGTGTGTGTGTGTGTGTGTGTGTGTGTGTGTGTGTGTGTGTGTGTGTGTGTGTGTCATTCTTTTCCATCCCTGCTATCTTTTTTGAAATTTTTCAGTTAGCTGCTTCTCCCACCTCTGTCAGCCCGTGTGATTGACAGGCCCTGTGTGTGTGTGTGTGTGTGTGTGTGTGTGTGTGTGTGTGTGTGTGTGTGTGTGTGTGTGTGTGTGTGTGTGGGTGGCCGTTTGAACATGGAGCCGTGCTGTGTGTGCGCGTGTTTGTGTATAAAAGCGTGGGTGTGCGTTTAAGCACGCATCCCCAGTACTGTACGAGCCTTCTCATGTGCACGCGTAGCTAAAACGTGTGTGTGTGTTGCACATTTGTGTAACGTTGTACAAATGTGTGTGTGCATGTGGGCGGCTGGAGTCGTGCACTCGCATGGAATCACTGGCAGCTGTGTGTGCCTGCTGTGTGAGAGCGTGGGCATCGCTCCTCTCCAGCAACAAAGTAAGGAAGCCATCGCAGCTCTATCAAATGTCAGAGAATCTTAAGTGTGCCTTTTAAGCACAATAGGTGGTGGAAATGTCAACACTTGAAGGGTCTATTACACTTCAAGCCTTTGGTGTGTTTTTTTCTTTCTTTTCCGCCTCCTTTATTGATGCTTTCACAGGAATTGGAAAGAAACAGGCAAGAATATCAACCCATTTATGTCAAGAGTATGCATCTCAGCGGCTCCATGGTTAGCCCAGTGTTTGTTAGCGCAGTGTTAATGGCAGAGCATGCGTTAGCTTTCTGTAGCCTGTTGGCAATTCCCTCGTGGCACACCAGCTACAATATTCAGAAAACATTTGTCTCTTTGAGTTCAATATCACAATGTTCATTACATTGATATCCCCACGGTGCACACACACATACTGCAGGAGGTAGAGAGCCAAACCCCCCCTACCTCCACGCTGTTGTCATGGAGAACACGTTGCGCCTTTGGCTCCGTGAAGAATAATAATGCCTGCAAATCTATTGCAATGCAAGAGTAATAAAAGATTGTGCTCAATGCTGTGTGTGTCCCTGTTGGTGTGTGTGTGTGCATGCAAAACCCCCATATACATGTTCCCTTTGTACGTGCATGTGAGTTTCTGTGTTTGGCGTGTTTATGGGAGATAACGTGAAGCGCGCGAGCTGCCTTAGCTGTCAGGGCGCAGGCGGAGAAAAGGGCCTTTGTTACTGCCTGAGCTTCTCATTACAGAGTCGCTGTGACCCCAGAACCCCGCTAGACAAGCCGTCTGCGTGTCACTTCCTGTCTCAGCCTGCCGAGCGACGCCATTGGCAGGCTATTGTTCCTGGGAGAGCGTGATAGGATCAGGGAATGTGTCCTAATGTTTGCAGATTGGCTTGCCGGAGCAACAATTACACTTGGTGAACGCTCCCGACGGGGAACCAGTGAGATAAGAGCCTGGGTGTGGAAGAGTGAAAAAAAAAAAGCCTCTGTTTCCTCGATGTGTGTGTGTACGCTCACCAAATGCAGCGTTGATGATCTTTTATTGTTTTAATAGCTTATCCGCTCGCATTGAGAATCCACAATGGAGAAGTTTTTCCAATTTCCTCCAAACTGACAGCTGAAATTGCTTCCTTTGTTTTACTGTTCATTTGTTGCTCATCACATCTTCATACAGGGAAACAAGGCAAATGAAGGACGCTCCTCTGAGTCACTGTTATAGGGAGCAGATGGTTGAATGCTGTAGAAATGCTTCAAATCTGGATTTAAAGTATGTGTGTTTTACCATCAATAACTCTTCCCCCTCCTTTCTCTGTCCTTTCTCTCTCCATCACAGTGCCAGCGTGCGGAGGCGTGTTCGATGCCACCGAGGCGGGTTACATCACCTCCCCTGGTTACCCTCTGGAGTACCCCCCTCACCAGAACTGTCACTGGATCATCACGGTGCCGGAGCCCTCGCAGCGCATCGTCCTCAACTTCAACCCGCACTTTGAAATCGAGAGGCTGGACTGCAAGTAAGACGGGAGGGGCGTAGCGGCTTTTTGGAGATGTCATATTGATGTCTGAAACTCTCTTCTAGCAGAGTAAAATTGCTTTTACAAATAGTACTTATTATTCTGGCTGAACGATGATTCGTGTTGACTTTTTCATTAGTATGCTGCGGAAGAATTTGCATCCCAAATAAGTCATTTCCTGTCGAAGCGCACAGGTTTTTACATCTTATTATAATTCACTGCCAGCGGTTTGGCTCCGTCCCAAGTTGTTGAAACGTTTCGACCACAACAGGTCAATTGCAAAGGAAATTATAATTGTTGATACAAGCTTCCTGCAGACCATTAAGTGGACTGCGGGTTTTCTTTTCGTGAAATAATTATTTATGGAGAGAATGGGTCCTTCCTTTCTCACATTCACACCATTACACACATTATTTCCTGGATGCTGCCCAGTGCAACCACTGACCTCTTTAAAGGCTTCTGCCGAGCAAATTACTGCATTAAATTCCTTGCTCAAGGGCACATCAGCTGCACAGAGCCTCCACAGTAAAAAGAAGCCGACATGTGCAAGTTTCCACTTCTCGTTTGCACGACGGTAGAAACAGATAAGCTCATCAAAAATAAACAGTGAATGGAAAGAATGATTCGTAATTAGTCCATGTGTTTTTTCCATTGGTAACTCGTGATGTCATACCTTCTGTTTTATGCAGCTTGGAGGCTTGAACACGTTTTTTTGGTTCTTGAACACCTTTCTCAAAACTGTATCAGAAGGATTGGACCGGATGAAAGAAATAAATCATGATTTTGTAGAATTTGGGAGGCAGAGCAGGAATAAACAGAGAGAGGAAGGAGCAGAAAATAATTTAGTCCAGCTGTTAGTCAGTTTCCTTTCTCAGAGACATGAATAATCCAAATCATATGGTCTCCTATTGTCTTTGACCTCAGAGGAACGAGGAAGAAGTCGAAGTCTCCTCTGCGTAATCTACTTTTAAACAACCGAGTCAGCGGGAATGTTACAAAATCCCCCCACTTTAAAACTTTTGCGTCTGTTTAAAGTGAACGCACAGAAGATGTGTTCGCTGCAATTACGACAATTTTATCCCCCAGTCCTTTCTTCTCTCTGTAAATCGAAGAATTAATAATCCTACACGAGTGTTTTTGCATTGTTCACTGACAAAGCACTTTGCGTGGCAGGCAGAAGAAGCAACTTTCACGGGCACATCAATGGCGGCGTCAGTGAAAGGGTTTTGTAATGATTGTCGATTCTATTCGCGCAGTTGTGTCTTGTTCGCGTCGAGCCGGAGAATGTTATTTTGATGTCTCCGCTTTGTGTCTCCTGTCGCTTTTGTCAAACCGTTGCATAATTATCTCCCTTTCGCAATACGCTTCTCAGTAATAAACGCTTTTACACCAGCGTCACAGTGTCAACACGGCGGCTCACTGGACTTCCTGTGTATGGAGAGCTCAGCTGGCGATAAGCAGTGTGTCGAGTCCCTCTCAGCCCAAAGGCATGCGGCAGGAGGAGGAGAAACTGAAATGGCTCCTATTTTCTACTCTCCACAGACGCTTTTATTGCAATGTTTTTTTTGCCTGGAGGAACTGAGGCCTTTGCCTGCCCTCTCACACACACACTCCCACCCAATCTGCCCTCGTATGAGTGTGTGTGTGAGAGTCAGTGAGCGTGGGTGGTCAAAAGGCGTGTGAGTAACTCTGCAAGCATGTGAGCGAGTATTGCTCTTCTTCTCTACATCCATCCATCCATTCTCCTTGTGATAACCCACGTTTTGAAGTCCCATTAGAGGGAAAACGGATCACGGCAACATTTGTTTATGCATAACCTCGAACACTAATGTGTTTGCCCCGTCTGTGTTTCATGGAAGAGGCATTTCCCTTTGGGGCGCAGCAGAAATAAGTGGAAAAAGTCAAAGTACAGCTCGATACTCCTGCCCTCTCTGTCCTGTGCTATGCTTTTTTAACGGGATTGATCGAGCCTTGTAGCAGCGTTACGGGTAGCTTCCTTTCCTTGCCTGTATGATTAGGCACGGCTGTGTGAGGGCGCAGAGATTTCTACATGTTTTCACGGTGCTCTGCGAGGGCCGGGGGGGGCTGCAGAGGTGGAGGGCTCGCCATCTTGGTCAAGGCTGAGAATCTGCATGACAGCTGGGACTGCAGAGAAACCCGAGCTGTGTGTTACCTGCAGTGCAGAGCTACGTTTCCTGTACTGCTGGAGAATATACAATACCATGGTCACAAAGGACACATGTTTCCAGTGTTTTCGCTTCAAAAACACATACACGTAGACACTTAGGCATGCGACCTAGAGCTCTCATATCCCCTTGGGCCCTGTAGGCAGGAGGAAAGTGCTTGGTCAGCCCAGACGAGGGGTCTGAGCTGCGGCTAATACCCCCAGTCAGCTGCTGATTTTCCCTCAGTGGGTTCAGACAGTCATAGCTCGGACGGTGCGCCGCGGCTCTGCTGCACCAATCAAATCCCGGCTCTGTGCAGGCGCTCCGTGTCTGAGGTGGCACTTTAATTCAGGATTTCATTTCAGGGGAGTCCGACCGCGTGCCAAATAGCTCTTACCTCCGGGTTGCCAGCCGATTGATGTGAACTAAATGTAATAACGGCTAGATGAAATATCAGGCCCCATATCTCTAATGCAATCTGCCATCACCGAGCCCCAGGATGCTACCTAGTGATATACCAGCAGCGGAAGAGAGCTAGAGTCTCTTTTCTTCATCTTCTTTCTCTTTCCTCCCTTTTGTTCTCTCATTCTCCCTCTCGCCTATAGCCTGAGGATGGAGCGTTTTATTTTTACACACTTGAATCACACACCCACGTCATAAAACCCAAGGCAGCCCAGAAGATCCATTTCTTCCACCTATGTGGTTTTTATTTCCTCACTCTCATTCGGTTATTTGTTATTGACTGCAGCCTGAGGGCGGGGGAGATTTGAAGATATAACTTTTATATAACTTCACGCACAGAGCTCACATCGAGGAGCGCCCCCGACACATGGCCCCACTCCCCATGGTGTGTTTTCCATATGTGTGTGTGCATGATATCACCATCTTACTAACACCCAGAAGGGGCGCGGAGAGGTGTGGGATCAATGTCTGTATTCCGCTTGTAATGGGAAATCCATTGATGATCAGCTAGGGTCCAGAGGCAAGGATGGAAGGAGATGAAGAGGAGGAGGGTGATGAAAGGAGAGACAGATGAGTGGCCAGAGGTCACGACTAAAGGGAGTTGTTCAGGTTCTGATACGTCGATATCTGGCGCTCGGACGGACAAGATCACGGTCACCAGTATCCGGCGGTCACACAGCTGTCAGCGCTCTCATGGCGATATAATGAGTAAAAGGTGGGATTAAATGTTAAAACCAGCCATTTAAGATGATTCCTTTAGAGGGACTTTGTCTGGATGAATGCAAACGCAGCATTGGAAGACCTGCTGATCTTACTCAGACGCAGTTAGAGTCTGATGTTTCAGATCGATGGCACTAGAAGGTCTGGGGCCGGGGCAGACGGCCTGCGGTCGGCGGTTTGCCCCGGTCATGTGTAAGTATGAGTCTGTGATGGACAGCAAGAGAGGGAGGTGAGGCAGGAGCACACGAGGAAGAGGAGTGCTATTTGTTTTGGGGGCTAGATTGAAGCTGGCAGGCCTTGAGGATCTGCAGGGATTTCGCTCGCAGCATCTAGTTAATATTTCAGAGGCACTTATGGTTTATTAGAGTCCCCTTTGAGGGGCGGGAGGAGCGAGTGTGTAGAGGCTGTGTAGCTGGGCGTGCGCCTTTCTCCATTTCTGCTCCAGCACTGACGTGCAGAAGAAAGCGACAGACGTTCTCTGCGTTGTTTACCCGATCGGGATCTGGTGGGTTTCCGTGCTCCGAGAGTGGAGAAAGGGTGGAAACACAATGCGGCAGAGAGGGGGAAAATCATTTCAACTGAAGGCCTCGAGAGTGTGAGCGCAGCCAAGTTTGGTTGGCTGATGTTCTCAAACAGCTGTTGCTCTTTTACATGCATAAACAAAAATAAATCAGAAGATCATGACGCGCCCGCAGCAAATTATGTGTTAATCTTTTGTGTAATGTTGACGCTCCCAGTGAATGCTTTATGTGTTTATGTACAGGAAAGTAAATAATAACAGGAAGTTAAAGGAGAATTTCTGGTGATTTTTACATTTCTGAGTAAGATGATGAGCCCTGAATGCCATAAAAGTCAGGTTGAGAGCCCTTTAAATATACAGTATACACATACAGCAGTTATGTTATTCTGTACTGAGGTGCCTAGGCCTGCAGGGAACATCCCTATCCTCAACCAGCAGCAAAGGTGTGAAAGGCAATTAGTTGTTGTGGCGTACAGGCGGAGTGATATATGAGAGTGGAGGAAGAGAAGACATGTCTGAACTGGTGCAGAATTACTGGCCCTTGGGGTTTTTAGTTTCCTTAACCCCTCTCCCTCTGCTCCGGCTATCCTCCACGGGAGAAATGAGGGGAGGGTTCAAACCGGTCCCCCCGTAATGGCTCCCTAAACACAGCCAGACAGACGGAAAGCATGAGGACCGGGTGGTGTCAGACATGAGGCGGGGTTTGGAGCAAAACATCCACCCTAATGGAATCTGGATCTGGATGGGGGGCTTAGTGTGTGTGTGTGTGTGTGTGTGTGTGTGTGTGTGTGTGTGTGTGTGTGTGTGTGTGTGTGTGTGTGTGTGTGTGTGTGTGTGTCGGGGAATGCGTTCAAGTGTTTGAGAGAGGCAGACATGGCGCTCTCACACGTCAGGCCCTCATGCATGTATTCATCAGAGCCCGGGGAGAGGCTGAGCGAGCGGGTCAATAATCACATCTGAGGAACACTCACTCGCTGATGCTAATCCACGACAGGAGAGAGCGAGACAGAAGGAGAGAGACCCACTCCAAAATCAATTAAAACCTAATTAGGCTCTCAGCTCTTTCGCAGGCCTTTTATCCTCTGTTTGTGACGAGTGTGTGCGCGCACGCCTGTGTTTGTCCACATCTGCGCGTGCACGCGTCCGTCTATCTCCATGGGTGCGTTTGTTGGCACTTGTTTGAGTGTGTGTGTTTTCCCTAAGCGTGTGTCAGTTACAGCCCTAAGCAGGCGTACTTAGGGATAGCCGTGGCTCTTACAGGCTCACCGTGGGAGCACGCAGCTAAAGCCTTCCCGATCGCCTCCGTAATGCAGGATTACAACCAAGACATTCAAGAGGATCGGACTTCTTTACTCAAGTGCAACTTTGGTGCAGATTTGCTTCCACCGTGACACTGAAACGTACATGTCTCAGCACAAAGTCTTTTTTAGAGGGGAACGACATCTGTCTCTGAATAATTCACAAACGTTCTTCCATGCTGATGCACAGATATAATGTGATATTGTGATGGAGCACTCCTGCGTTTTAGTATTGCACTTCCATACAGTGGAGGGCCCAGAGGGGAAGGCTGAGGGAGTGAACAGCCGGCAGGTATATATCACCTCTCCTACCACCTCTCTTTAGACCAGTGGTACTCAATTCACATCGTGTGGGCCAAATCAGGCCTGAGAGAAGGTGCTGCAATGACAATTAATTGTCAACTATGGTATTTTTGTTTACCTTTTTGATGTAAATAAGGTAATAGAAATAATTTAAAAACGCCAATCGAGCTTCTTTATCAAAATGAGTGCCATTGGAGGATGGTCAGGGCCCGCCAACAAAGGTACAGGCCTGAAATTCCCTAAATAAAAAAAAATAAAAAAAAGTATAGATAAATTCAATTTCTTTGCCAATGTGTTCTTTCTGATACACTTTATGAATATTTATTTATGAACTAATTTGCTAAATGGTCCCTGGGCAGTGCGAGTTGAGTACCCCTTGATACTCTACATTGCCAGCAGTGTTGTGGAAACATGACAGTCTTGTTGCAGTATTTCCACACTTTGATCCTTACCTGTGCGTGTGCCACTCTGACCCAGATTAAATTGGCTGGGATTATCCCCCCCATCAGCAGCTTGTAGCTTCAATGCTCTGCGTAGGAATCAACACACTGCAGGAGTGAGATAGCCAAAAAAGAGGCTTACTGACTCCTTAATCCACGTTTTATTTCCAAGCCGCAGTACAAAGGCAGTCTTAGTGCTTTAGATGCCATAAAGGAACACAGCCTAGAGCTGATTGCTACCTCTCAGCTTTGCTTAATACTTTTCAGTCTGAGTTTCTTGTTTAGAATATTAGCAAAGATACTGTGTTTAAAAAGTGTCTGGAAAAGTCAGAGATGTCTGCGAAGCTTTTTCAGCTTCAAAGAACCCATCACAGTAATTAGGGAGACAACAGCGGGCCGTTGTCTTTCTGACGGCTTCGTCATATGAACTAATTGAGACGAGTGTGTTTGCATGAGTGTGTGTGACGGAGGGCGCGCTGGGTGGAGCTGCGGGGCTCGTGTGGCGATGCAGTTAGTTACGCAGGGAATCACAATATGGGGGGTGAGGAGACACTTAGTAGCACTGGAGAGAGAAACAGACGGGGATAAATATTACGGAGAGCAAATTACAAGGAAACGTTTCACAGTTGCGCGTCTCGAAATACAATAACATGCATGTTTAGCTGAACATGGAGCTGGAAAAGTGACGATTACCTTTAGTATAATTGCCAGTTTTAAGATTAACTCACTTAAAGCAGCACTCGAGCGCACAAACAGAAATTATGGAGTTTTCCACACCTTCCAATATTGTCACACAGCCCCAAATTATTACCTTTCAAACCCTGGGGTTCTCCAGCTGCCTTTCTTAATCATATCAACAATGCTACGGTGCAAATGACAGGAGGTAATGCTCAGAGGGACTGTGTTTTATAGTAAATTATGGTTTTCAACTATATCCGTCTGTCTTTGCATGTCTTAATGTCTCTTTCTCTCTTTCTCTGTACTTTATATGGACATACAACTGAGCTGGCAACAATGTCATGTGACGCATATTCTATGTTAACAATGTTAGAGGGATGAAACATGAGCTATTTGAGGATCAGCCAGGTGGGCTTTTTCAGCCTCTCTCATAAAAACACACACACACACACACACACTCACTCTCTCTCTCTCTCTCTCTCTCTCTCTCTCTCTCTCTCTCTCACACACACTGAGCTGACAGTTAAGAATGTGCTTTATCGTTCAGGGTCACTTGGCCAGTCAAAGGTTATAATGAGCTGAGTGTGCAAGCATGTGGAAGCTAAAAGCAAGCGCCTCACATTTATTTATCTTAAATTGTCTCCTTGAGCCGCTAGAGCTCCGTGTGTCCTCACCTTTCCCTCTCTCCAAGACTCTTTATTTTGTCTATTTCTACACTTTTATTAATGAATCCATCCAAGAAACAAGGATTTTTGGAACACTTCTTCCCTTTGAGTCAAGATTTTGGGATGCGTAAAAAGGGATCTGAATTTGTTTGCCTCAGCATTAATTGAACACAGATGAGGGGAAAGAGTTCAAGTTAGGTGAATTTCTTTTTACTGAAGTCAGTGAAAGATATATTTACTTCTATCTTAATGGTACGTTGTGACGCTGTGGATCCTGACCTGAGGCTGAACACCTGTCTGCGTTTTATTAGCTGAGCCCTCTATCTATGATTATCTTCACACTGCCCCCTAGCATTTATATCCTTTCCTTTCTTAGTTCCTTCCTGCTGCATTAAGCTGGAATAATAAACTGAATTGTTTTTAAACTTTTTTCAAGCAACAGGAAGTAATCTTGTTTTTTCTTCAGGTACGATTTTATCGAGATCCGCGACGGGACGTCAGAGAACTCCGATGTTCTGGGTCGGCACTGCAGCAACATCGCCCCGGCGCCCATCATCTCGTCCGGATCCTCGCTGCAGATCCGATTCGTCTCGGACTACGCCCACCAGGGGGCCGGCTTCTCTCTGCGCTACGAAGTCTTCAAAACAGGTGAGGCATGGAGCTGGAACACGATTGGCTGACACCTGTTTGTTTGGTTCGTGAACATTTGGGTGTGATTGCTAATTGGTTATGGGATTTGATCAAAACTGCATCTTAATTGATCTCATAATCAATATGAAGTTTTATATTTTTAAAACTGAATGACTGGCATTTCCTTAATACAAGCAACATGTTCTTCAAACAATAGTGTGATATGTTTAAATATGTATTAATAAGTCTGGAAATAATGAAGGAGTAAACATTTCAATAAATAAACATAAGTAGTATTTGATGTTGTATATTCAACAGCTAGCAAAAGCTTGTCTGACTCTTCTGATGTTCTCACACTTTGATTTAGTATAATCTTGTGTCAGTTCTACATAATACTGATGTGAAGTTTGAAACTCAAAGGATAGCATCTGATTTGTGTTGCTTTTTAAACGATAGAGACAGAAACCAGGCTCCACTGCTCATGGCGTACAATCTATCTCAATCTCTTGAAGTCATCTCAAAGTATTTACATTTTGTGGGAAACATGAGTTTGAACTTTTCCACACTCTGATCCCGACATACAGTAAAGGCTCCGCTGTGCATTAAAACTCAAGCTAATGGTTTTGTCTCTGCCGCACGTTAATCGCCCGAATCCTGTGATCATTCAACCCAACACTCTTAAAACAATTTACATCAGCAGCGGCAGCCGTGCAAGTAAACAAAAGTTCAAGAGAGGGGAGAAAAATGACTTTCGAGCCGCCTGAAAGCATGTGAGGAATGCCGGTTTAATTGGAGCTGGATCCGCAGCTTCTTACGTATAGAGCGAGATGGATGAGGGGGGGGGGATGATTGAGAGAGTCGTGCGAGGCACTTGAGTTGGACATTACCGGAGTTGATGTAGCGAGTGCAGGCGGTGAGGCGCGAGACTGCAGGTGATGAATGTGGTGAAATGGAGTGTAAGTTTAGTGTTGACGTTAAAGGTTTACGAGTGGAGGCGGTGGGGAGGAGATTGATGGGGATGAGTGTGCGGTGAAATGGAATTTCCCGAGGTCATGGAAGTGCACGAGGTGAGGCACAAACTGCAGGTGAGATTGTAGTGGGAAGTGTATTTGTTTTTAGTGGTGACTAGTGTGTGTGTGTGTGTGTGTGTGTGTGTGTGTGTGTGTGTGTGTGTGTGTGTGTGTGTGTGTGTGTGTGTATAGTAGGAGAGGTGAAATGGTCAGGGAGCCTTGAGGCGGCTCAAAGATTTATGTTCAGGTGAAGCAACCGGCTGATTGTGATGCTGCATGTGCTCTAGCAGACACTATCCAATTAAACTTATTTAAGAAAAGTGAAAGCGGGAAAAAGTTTCCTTGCAACAAAGAAAGCGTTGAGTTACCCCCTCCTACCTCTGAAAAACATCTCCGTTTTTGTGTCAAGCGAACGTGACCCAGATTTGACGTTCAGTTCAGCGCCGTTACCAAGGCCACCAGCTCGAACCCCGTCACTGTGATAGTGTAGATTGCATCTGTATCACACACACATACACGGTGGATTGAGGCTGGGGGATGCAGTTGCCATGGATTTAACAAGATCCCGGTATAAATTCAGGGGGGGGGGATAAGAGATTGTGTCAGTGTAGGTTTCTGCTCGCTGTGTGTGTGGGTGGTTCCACTCAGCTTGTTGTGTGAGATGTCTGTATGTATGTGTGTGTAGGCGGGATGATAGATGCTCATGTGTGCGAGTGAGGGAGAGACAGGCGCAGTCGGGAAGTGATTGGGGTGAAGGGAGAGAGACCGACGAAGCAGGAGTGAAAATGTATTCGAGATGCGTGATTAAGGCCATGTGTTAATTACGGCGTTTCCACAGTTTCTCATCAGAGCTGTTTGTGTTTTTGGGCCACGGGTTTCCACTAAACACAGCTCACCACTTCTGACGGAGCGTAGAGATCCCGCCTGAGATGCCATTATTTACCAGACGGGAAGTAATTACACCGCCATCACTTTTTACCCTCGTTAATTGATTTTTGTTTCATTTTTGTGTACCTGTAATTAGTAGTGGAAGACTTTAACATATTATTTGGTCCTTTCCGATGTCTGCAGTCAGTGAAGGAAAATACTAGCTTACGGGGGATTAGAAATACTTCTGGTTGCGGGGTGTGTTTATGGGGCGTATGTGTTTTTAAAGGGCGCGTCTTGCAGAGATAGGAATCTCGGCACACAGCTGGGAAGTGTGTGTGTGTGTGTGTGTGTGTGTGTGTGTGTGTGTGTGTGTGTGTGTGTGTGTGTGTGTGTGTGTCAGTTTCCGTCTTATATTAAACAGACAGTACAGCTTCCAGTCCAGACTGACCCCACCATGCTGTGTCTAGAAGTCAGACAGTGTGTGTCTGCTTCTGGCTGTGTGTGTGAGGGTGTGTGAGTGAGTGAGAGATCTTGGCCTGTTTTCTGTTCTATGAACTAATGATACTGCCGCTTGTTTTTGTTTTGTTCATTGAACCCTATTACATAAGCGCTGCTGACTGTAACATCTCCAGGGGGTTTTCGAATTGGACAAGCAATCTGTTTGTGTCAACGTGTGTGTATGTGCATCAGTGTGTGTGTGAGTGTGTGTAATGGGGTACAGTGTATGAAAGCTAATTATTTCCAGCGAGGAGCAGCCGGACCGACCTTTGACTGTGCACCCTGATACCCCTCCACCCTTCAGTGCCCCTCCTGAGGGGGAGCCAGGGCGAGCGTTTGCCCCAAAAAAACATCCATCACACACACGCACACACACACGCACACATTACATGTATGCCTTAATCCAGTCAAAGAGCACCCCTACCCTCCTCCCCATTATTGTTGTGGCCTACTTTACTCCTCCTCATGCGTGCTTAACCCTTTATTCAGCCCCCGACTATCACCCCCCCCAACCCCCCATCAATCCCTCACACTTTCACTTACAGACAGTCATGTGGTGCTGACGCTGTTACCACGGCTACAGGGGGAAGACTTTCCAGTAAAGCCCCCTTCTTCCCAGTTCCCTAAAGCCCACCAGTAGGATGGCGGGGGCCGATAACGTCGCAGCCAATCCCGAGTTAAGACTACGGCCGAGCGACCTCCCCCCCCCCCCTCGGGGTGGTGGGTTCCTCCATGACCGCTGTCGTGGCATCTGCGGGGTCACGGCGGGGGCAGGGCCTCAGGCAGGAACCTCCGACCAAGTGCCAGTCACAACATTGGTCCCCGTGTGTATGTCGGATGTTATAGCGCTGATTGGATGCCAACATTTGCATCAGTGACGGCTGTTACAATATGGCGTACTGCCACGTTATGCCAGGATCGTCCCAACGCTGGAATTACACTGAAGTAATAAACCAGCAAAGGTACATTTTAATTAATGAGCGAATACATCCGATCAGCTGTTTGATCAGTGATGAGGAAATAATAATGTTTCATCAGCAAACAGCATAAAAAAGAAAATCAAGAGATGCACTTTGATCACACACAGCAGGAGGCTTTATTTTTAACTCTGTGATTTCATTCCAGCACGCAGTGTGAAAGAGGACGCATTCCTTTCTAAATAAAGCTGCTTCAGTCTGATGTCTCTCCGGGTCCATAAAAGTGTCGAGCCGTGGCACGCCAAGATTGTGTTTTTCTTTGCTCGGGTCTTCTTCTTGTTTGCTGTGTTGTTGTTATTGTGGGTTTTCCACCCCAATGTGTAGCACGCCTCTTCCGCTACACACGCACGCATACACACACCCCTCCCCGCATGCCTCAAGAGGGATTTTCTTCAATGAAATGTGGAAGTGAGCTCCAGCAGGGGTAACATGAGGAGCAGATGCATGTCAGACGCAGACAGGCAGGTAGAGAGGTTGGAGGGGAGGGGGGGAGGGGTTTTGATGTGTGCAGAGGTGAGCCCCTTAGAGTGGCGTGCCGAGGACAGGACGAGCGAGGCGATGCCAGGTGAGACAGAGAGTTAAAAGAGCGAATGAACACAGACTCTGCATGTCGCTGCTGAGAAGACAGGAAGCGGAGGAAAGGATGAGAGAAGAAGAAGAGGGGGGATGGGGATGCCCTGACACAACATGTGGAGCTGCTACTACATCAGGCACTCATGTGCAAGAATCGAGTGATTTCTACCCAGCAACTCACCCTCTCGCCCCCCTGAGTCTCACACACACACACACACGCACACTCACGCCGTGACCTCCCCTCCTCTGCCTGCAGACATGTCTTGCAAAAAGGTAGCTCAGAGTGCGAGGAAAGCACCAACCACGGCTGGCGGAGGGAGGCACTAACCGGGACTTGTTTTTAGCAAGTTCATACAGTGTGAACTAATGAGCGCGAACAGAACTACTCATGCATACGCAAACACGGCTGCACACGTAAACACCCGAGCACATGCACACAGCGTGGGCACGGGGCGAGGCAGAGTGTGTGAAGCGGCTGGATCGTGTGTGTAAAAACACAGAGCGGTGTGTTTTGAAGCGATGGAGTCAAGCTGTGCTCAGATTGAAGTTTTGGGCGGTGAGACTTCAGACTGCTGCACGCCGGTGACCCAGTAAGAAACAAGGCCAGTGTGTTACTGGGTCTCACACACACTGAGAGACACACAGTCTCACACGCAGAGGAAAACATGCCGGCAGCAAAAATATACACTTGAATAAAAGGCGTACACAAAAACAGGCATGCAAAGACACACGCATATGGCTCATGCATACTGTTTTACAATCACATCACTGCTTTACGGTTTTTTTGGCACTCGAGTATACTCCTATTCCTGCTCTTTAGTCAGTTGGTAGACACGCACAAGAATACCGTCATCGCTTCAGGGAGGTGAGGTCAGTAGTTGAGGGGATGGGGAGATACCGCCGGTAGCTTCCTGAAAATTACCACCATATTTCAACATGACTAGGTGTGTGTGTGTGTGTGTGTGTGTGTGTGTGTGTGTGTGTGTGTGTGTGTGTGTGTGTGTGGGAGGGAGGGAGTCACACAAGAGGTTGAGTGCTGCTTTTAACATGCGTGGGAAGATTTCATACGTTTGTGTGTCAACATCTGCAAAACAACATGTATGTAAATTAGACGGATACACATGAATGCATGCATGAGTCAAGGAAAACAATAGGCGTTCATATATAAATAAAAAAAGCAAGAAGAAACAGAGAATTGAAGCTGCTAGAGAACAAGAAAACAGAGCGAGAGACACACACTGTCTCCTTATTTTTCTTTCTCATCGTGATTGGGGTCAGCTCTCTGCCATTAACCAAGTGTAGACAGGGGGTCAACATCTGCAAAACAACCATGTAATGTGTAAAAATTAGACGGATACCACAATGATGCATGCATGAGTCAAGGAAAACAATAGGCGTTATATATAAAAAAAAAAGCAAGAAGAAACACGAGAATTGAAGTCCTGCTAGAGAACAAAGAAAACAGAGGCGAGAGACACACACTGTCTCCTTATTTTTCTTTCTCATCGTGATTGGGGTCAGCTCTCTGCCATTAACCCAAGTGTAGACAGGGGGGGGGGGGTGAGCGGAGCAGCCGGTCGACCCTCAGCTTTTATAGGGCTGTCTGATAATAAGTACTGGTGCCTTGGAGGAATGCTGCAGAAGGAATGCGCCGGTAACATGTCTCTGCTGCTCTTTATGAATAAGTATTATCAAACGCTGACCTGCCACTTCTCTGACACAATGCAGAGCTGCTGCTGAAAACACACTTTCCCAGGTTTGAAACCAACCAGAAAGCCCCTGAGTCTCTTCAACATGGCCTTTATCTGCATCGCCCAGCGGTGGGAAAATACTGAAAGAACAGACTTTTTTCATTATGCTGGCCTGCGAGCATTTTAGCAAAGTGAAATGTGTCTTCTTTGAGTTGTAATTTAAAACGGCAAAGAAATAAAACTGTGTGTGGTGGCATCAGTTGGTTTAAAAAAGGCCGAACCGGAGGCACTTCTGATGTGCTGTTAGACCTAATGAGAAGTCTTGTCACATGCCCTCCTGGCAAAGTTGAAAATAGGAACAGAGACCAGACCTTTTATAGCCGAAGTAAAGATAGAGAAGGTGAGAGCGAATGGACAGAAACGTTTTTGAATGAGGTTGTGTGTGAAGTCGATGTGTGTGTGTGTGCCGTGACCCTCTCCCACCCTCATTGATGTGCCGGTCCATAAACACTGGGCCGTGACTCAGGCTCCCCAGTGGGGCGCGGAGCAGTGGCTGATGGGTAGCTGATCTGAGCCACACAGCTGCCTCCGCTCAAGGTGAGCCGCCCAGGGCGCATAAATCTGCATGGCTGATGAGGGGCCGCCGCAGAGGGCCCACTTAGAACCGTTACACAACGTTTGAGGTGTGTGTGTGCAAAAGAATGGGAGTTGAAGAGAGTGTGTGTAATATATAGAATAGAGCAGGGTTCAGTCTATTCACTTGTTAGCGTTGCAGAAGTGTGTGTTGTTGAGTCATACAGTGAAATGTATGAGAACGGGGTCTTTATAAGGGCGCTATAAAGCCGTCAAACATATAAAACGACAACTTTCCTGAAGGTATAATAGTTTTTCAGACTGTTGTTGAATACAGAAGTGGTTCAACTTTAAAGTGGCGATAGTCGAGAAAATCAGCCTGCTCATATCGCACGCTGCAGCGTTAGATACGCCCACTTGAGCATTTCCTCTCCATCAGTGATCATAACCTGTTTGTGTGTCTCAGCACCACAGCTACTGTATCCCTGCATGCTGTCAGTGATGAACGACTCTCTGCAACACCCTCTGCAAGTCAGATGAGATATCCCAGTGTGATCGATTGCTAACGGCCGTATCTTCCCCTAATATGACCGATTGCTTATTCCTCTCTAAATATCCGTTTATCCTTGCAGGGTCGGAATTCTGCTTCCGCAACTTCACCAGCTCCTCCGGCATGATCGACTCCCCGGGCTTCCCGGATAAATACCCTCACAACCTGGAGTGCTCGTACATGATCATCGCCCCGCCCCACATGGACATCGTCCTCACGTTCCTGACCTTTGACCTGGAGAACGACCCCCTGCTGGTGGGAGAGGGCGACTGCAAGTACGACTGGCTGGAAGTGTGGGATGGCCTTCCGCAAGGTGAGGACACACGCTGGAAGAAAGCCTTATACACTCTTTTGTTAAAGTGCATTGAAAAACATACATCCTGGGGATAACACACACACACACACACACACACACACACACACACACACACACACACACACACACACACACAC